GCAACTCACTTCCCAACCTCGACCAGTAGCCCCCCTGCTGAAATAAGTCTTGCGTCTTTGTGCACCGTTTATGTGCCATCTCATGTCGTTCAACGATGCGATTCTCTCTCAAAATACGAGATATCACGGAGAGCACAGCATCCGCATTGGTGGCGTTCCAGCAACTTCATTCAGACTCAGCCGATCAAAGTGACTCTGGAACGTTTCTAATTCCTCCTATCCTTCTCCGTTCTTAATACTCCTTCCACCCAACAAGGCCACTGCAACCTTTCTTAAGGCAGGATCCTCGCGTTGGATTTGCACCAACCTTCCGGGATCCAATTCGGCCCAAATCATGATCCTCGGCCGCCTCGATTAAACGCAACAGGAATTCTGTCATTATCGAGATAAACTCATTCTCGCTAGTCGTCACCGGAAAGGCGCCTATGACGTCAACGGACGATAACTCGCAAATCAAAAACCATTAAATATCGGGTGTTAGAGGAAACCGAAAATCTCCACCGCCAAAAAAACCCGGCTACAACCCGATTTACGGTCAGTTCATTCAGACGCCGAAACTGTACGCAAAACCCTCATTTTCTGCTCACCTTCCTCACAGGAGACTTACATGCACTACTGGCTTCCTCGACTGTGCCATTTATCAACATTTCTCCTCCCGCAGATGAAACGGCAGCAAATTTGGTTGTTAGTTTGAAAGCGTTCTAAGGAGAGGGAAATTACGTGTGTAGTCTACGGGCAGAAGCCAAACGGATCCGCATCACCCGTGAACAGCTCGAAATCTTCTCTGTGTACTAACTGTACTGACGACACGTTGAAAGACAGGAGCCTCCGGACATGCAGGTTGCCCACCTCAGTGCTTAGGTAACCTTCAGGCTTGACCGTTCCGTACCTTGTCACAAGTTTTTGTTGCTTAAGTCAACCACGGAATTCGTGCTCTTGAGAAAATTTCACCGATGCCCCTTCTCTTGTATCAAACAAGCACAGCTCCCTCTGCCCCTCTACTTGGATAAAGGCCTTTTTGGTAGCCTGGTCCACTGCACTCATCGCAACTCACCCGGTAAAAGAGGAGTAATCCAAAGTTTTATTATATACAGGTGAACGGGAACGAGAGCATGGACTCTTTAATTGGTCAGGCATGTCACACCTGTAGCATCCACTCGTTCGAGCATGCCTCAGCGATTTCATATTTATGACTGCAAGCTGTTGGTCGAGCTGGTCTGTAGTTCTTGCACTGGTGAACCACCCCTGTTATCGTGCGACTGCAATGCAGCCAGCGGTGCCTCAGCCAATTCCCGTGCCAGGTGGACCAGGTAATCCACATTCAACTGGCCAGTTTCTCTCGCCAACCGCAACTGGGCTCCAAACGCCGGCTGAAATCTTTCAATGAACTGATCAGACAGAAACTGCTAGCTCAACTCTCCGTGCAGTTCCGGAAGTGCACGGCTTAGTTACATCCAGGATCCATCCTAACCATCTTGAACCGCTTCATAGCCCCCGGACGGTCGGCCGGTGTGTCGAACTCCGTTGCATGGGTTTCCTCCACGGCTGCCCAGTCCGCCTCCAAGTCCGCCCCCTCTGGCCGCATCTGTGGCCACCTCCTTTGGACTCCAAGGAGAATCTTCAGCGCCGCCAACTGACCCAGGCTGTCTCAAGTCCAGTAGCCCCGCACTTTCCTCGAAGTCCTCCAGGTTGTTGCCAAAATCCCCATTCTGGAGGCGTTGTAACCACGCGATCTTTATCCTCATCCTGATCACCGCACCAAATAAAACGAAGAAGGCCTTCACTGCAGATTTATTCGTCGGGAAACATCAACTGAACAGTTGCAGAATATTGGACATGGAAGCAAAACTCCCAAATGCATCTTGTTTGTAAAAACTTTGTATCCGTCTTATATTAAAACGCGTCTTCCTGAGGATTCCAGGATACTCACACACTGCATACCGTTACTCAAACGAATTCTACAAATCGATTCCACAAATTCCGTAATAAATCTCACTCTTGAATGGATGCGAATCGATTTTTGGAAAAACCCGCATACTACTCTCATGCTTCATCATTTGTATTCGCTGCCGCATGCGCGGGCAGAAGAACCATGGTCATCTTCATCATGGGTATTACCTACTTAATTACCGAAAAGCTGATCAAGCTGCCATAGTATATTTTGCATTTTATTCGGGGTGTTGAGATACAGGTCCGCGCATTCGAATTGGTGGCTGATATGACTGACCACACACCAGAGAGATTCCACAAGACTTTTACATGCGAAGGTCTTCAATGGACTTCTCTAACAAAAGCAATAGCTTGGGAGCCTGAACACTAGACATGTTTGATTATACATCCAACCAGTGACGTGTCCCTTCCGGGGTCTGTACCAGGGAGATGGCAATGACCAGTGCAGCCGACTGTTCTGGAAATGGCTTTCAAAATGAACTGTCAAGTTAATGTTTGAACTCCCGTGCCACGGTTCTAACTTTCATGTGGTTGTACAAAGAGAATTATCAACTGACATAACCGGCACCCAGACAAACCATTGAGACTCATTGATTATGATCATTCAACCTCTTTCGGGCGTTATTTATTCTGGAAATCATTCGATTTATTTCAGAATGGCTCATCTTTTATCTCCACTACATTCGAACAGCGTCCCTAGATCATCAATAGCCGTTGATGACACTAGACAGTAGGCGTGAATTAACCGATATATTACCTTGGACTTCTCACTGGAACATCACCAAACGACGGAAACTTAGCGACAATCATATCAACCATCCATGACCAAACCCCCAAATGAAGTGGCGTAATAGGTTGCCAGCTTGTCTGTATTTAGTACCTAACTGCGTTATTTTTATTCCTGATGATACGACTAGAGTAAACCAGCTGCTGCTCGATATCCCTAGCAAATGATAAATAAAAAAAATTGTGAAAATGCAAAATTTCAGCTTTTCTCCGCACAAATTCAAGGTAGAAGCCTAATACTAAATTGTAATGCAAACGTGTTATTATATGTAAAATCGTAATTTAGCGGTGAGTTTACACCAAATTTCGACCGGTGACCTAAGCTTCGGATTAATGAATTCTTCAGCGCCATGAACGCGGCCGAAAAATCCACTTGTGTTTACGGTTCAAGACAAAATGAAGCTGGATATTTAACATAATTAACCTGTAAACTTGAAGCCGTCGGCATTTCCTTCAGCGAACCATGCAATCCTTGAAATTTCAAAACGCTGACTACATTTACGCCTATATCATTTGACTATGCTTGGTCGTTAGAAAAGGAGAAAACCTTTGGAATGGACCACAGCAAGGAATATTATGAGTGCAAGGTGTATTGGGAAAAATGGATTGTATTTTGAAACAGTTCTTATTATCTGATGTTAGGTTCCTGTCAAACGGCTGCCTGGTAAATTGCAGAGATTTTTTTCTTCTGAGAAGATCAATTTTAAAGTCCCGTCTCTCGTCAAATTAAAGCGTGCCTTGCTGTTATGTACTAAGTAGTTTCCTCGAAATTAAACCATAATGGAACCCCACAACCAGATTACAGGAATAAAAGCTTTAGTGATTGCTCAGTTCTTGTGTTTTGTCGTAAAATTAGCATCAACAACAATATCATTCACATCAATTATAAGTACTTCCGTGGAAAGTGCCGCTGAATCAAAGGTTCCTCTAAGTTAACTTTTGGATCATCCCACTTGACAAACCGTATAATGAGACGTTGTTTGCGCTTGCTAATAGAATGCGTTCTCGAAATATTTGCCAGCTTATTAACCCACTCCGTTTGCTTACAGGTGCCAATATTCGGTCGGCATATTAAATTTGCCACAAGTACACACATAAAGATACGTCTCCCCGATGTTTTGAGGGTCATTCACTTAGACCTAAGCACCCATATATTTAATTAACACCAATGTCAAGTCCTTAGACGCGTCTCTCTGCAGCGAACCCCTGGTAATTTTTTCCTGTGTAGACAAAATATAATGTGTCCTGCTTTCTTTCTTTCGATTTCCACTTTGTAGTCTGGGTGAGGAGTAGCGCCCACCGGCATATGATAGGCTGGTGATTTTAACAAAGTCACACGGAGGAGAAAATGTATTTGCTGCTCATGTGCTAGCGCCTTTGGCTGAGTTCATTCTACCGCCGAAAATTTACGAATGACCGACCATGAAGAATGAACCTTCTTTTTGTCTTGAAAGTCCATGTTTTATTATGTGTCTCAGTTTTCTTATTGATGTAGTAACGGATTTGGTTCCTTCTGCTATACATAGTAGACCCAAGCAACAAAGCTGTTTGTCTGTTAACAAAAACATAAATGAATTCGCAATTGAGACTGTTGATTCAATTTGCCTTCAAGCCAGTGCCGCGGTGTGTACCGCTGAATATTTTGTACTAATCAAAAGGTAGCTTCAACGTTGAGGATCCCTTCTTCAATAACGTGGCTTCAAAATTCTACATTGCGATCCTCACCACAAAAAAAGTACCCTGTAGCTTTCAATGTTTTGAATATTTTCACCTTGTTAAATTCAGTTTATAATTAAAAAAATAAATTTAAATTAGAGTACATTTGATAAACCCTTCTCATTAGATTATTTAAGCTAACAGTTTAACAACAATTGAAGATCACTACAAATTTTCTCGTGTTGTTACATGCCTTTGGAAATCTCCATTGGAACCCAGTCAAAATGTCGGCCGAATGTTCACTGGAATGCTTAAATTGGCAGCATAGATGACTTGTCCTCAGTATCCTCACGCTTACTTGACATGCAAACATATGACATATCATCCAACGATCATCGGTTTTCACTGGAAATTTATTTTAATACTCATGAGCAAGAAGTCATCACAAATTGTTCATATGTGTAAAATTAATACTGTGAATCGGTAGGGGCCGTTTTCGGCAAAACAAATGTGTATGCGGATTTATTTGCTGCACAGGAAAGACTCATAAATTTCCGATAAAATATTTTGCCGAGCTCCTTAGAGTGGTATGTTTAATAGAAGGATCCCCCGGGTTCAATTTGTGCTTGGCATGGCATACAATAGAATTCTGAGAAAAAATATTGAAAACCGGTTATCTGAACAAACAGAAATATTTCTTAAATCCTTTACAATCAAGAGGCTGACTGCGAAAACATTTTGATGAAAGCTCCAAAGCTTAACCATCCTACAAGCTCCAGATGGAAAAAAGCAGGCATTTTTTATATTTCTACAAAAAATTATGAGTAACCCGTTGAATTTTCACTTCATGATCTGTTTTTAGCATTTTTCAAAGACTATATAGTTTAGACTACGGCACCACTCCACAATCGCGAAATTTTCTTTTAGCATTCAAGAATTCCCCATTTTGTTTCCGATTAGGACACGTGGCGCGAACAATCCAGACTGTTCACACTCTCAAATGGTCTACAATGAACATCTCCTGATTTTAAGACACTGACAAACCGAGTCAGAGGTGCGCTAGCCATTATATTCTTGTGGAAAATAACACTAAAATTTTGAGCAAGTCCGATAACTGAACAGGCCTATATTACTTGATATTGAGAAGTCTTCCAGTGAACATTTCACTCCTCTTGCCATCAGCTCTGTAGTCCAAAATTCATTTGACCATGTGGAAAGAGACACTGAGCATTTTAAAGTCAAATCAACTAAGGGATGTCAACTAAGGATATATGTCCGCAAGCATTGATTCCTGATCATAGTGCTCCCCGTAGTTCTTCCTCGTAAGGTTACCCTTGGCTTTCAACAAAAAAGACAGCGGTACGAATGAAACAGAGGTTTAAAGATGACTGTGCCAAGCAAATCGGTGCAGCGGTACAGAGCACAACGGTTGTAACTGCATAAACACACACAACATGTCCCACTGACTGACAAAGGCCGTTTTTGTGCCTCATTCTTGAAAGCAGCCAGTTGTCAAGACGAACTCGTTCTGAAAGCCAAATTGCAAGAAAGACATTGTTTTGATGAGCAACAAGTATTTGATTTTTGGAAAATAAAAATGTTTTCTCATATGCACGAAGGTATCTTCTCTCCGTGGGCAGACATTTCAAAATTAGACCATGGGGCCATTGTCGAGTTAAATGTCTATGAATAAGCGAAATCATTAGATTACCCTTGAGAAAGCAATCTTCCGATGAAAACCACACGCATTCAGAGACCTGAAGGTCAATGACTAATATCATGACATTTTCAAAATTATACAGGCAGTGTAGATTCAGCATATGCTCAAGTTAATTGATTCTGCCAATATGCTACCTGGAGTAGCCTTAAAATGAAGCTTTATGTGTACGCAAAACAAAGCAGGCGATATATTTATAGGTGGCCCAAATTTCTTAATGCTTACAGGTCCACCACAGTCTTACCAGCACACAAAACTATGCTATTTGTATAACACGATGTAATCCTTTATATTTGCCAACTCCTCGTGATGATCCTTCCATATAGCCTTCCTAATACACAGGCAATCGTCCAGGTTTTCAACGCATCGATCCCTGTATTTTTGCTAAGCCACTTGTATTGAATTGTCGAGACTTAAATCCGTGTGCGCAAGTTTTCACAGTGTATTCAAAAGCAATGATGACTAATACAAGCAGCATTCTGGGTTTCAAACCCTTGATTACGATTGTCTGACAGTTCTGTCAACCAGCACTTCTGCTAAACTCAAATTTCATAATTTGATAGGTATACTTCAGTTGTT